TCTCTCTCTCTCTCTCTCTCTCTCTCTCTATGTATCTATCTATCTATCTATCTATCTATCTATCTATCTATCTCTTTCTCTCTCTCTCTCTCTCTCTCTCTCTCTCTCTCTCTATCTATCTATCTATCTATCTATCTATCTCTCTCTCTCTCTATTACCTATCTACTTATCTCTCTCTATCTATCTACCTGTTTATCTGTCTCTATCTGGCCGTCTAGCCACCATCATCTCATTCTGTCACTCTGTCTGTGCTATCTTTATGTGCCTGTTTATATACATCTACATATTGTTGTTCATCCTGTTTCTCGCATCGCACGCGACGACTTCCGTTTCAAAGACGGGGGGCACACGACACACGAGAAGAAATCGGAGTCGCGTTAGCGCTTTCGCCGTACATGTCGCGAGACGTCCCGAAGGCGACGGGAGAGTATCTCCGTGCACTTGACGTGGCATGAGCGCAGCTTATTTCGTTGCAGAAGCGAGCTATCGATCGCTATCGATAAACGATGCCACTTAGTTGATTCTCGCCGAGTAATTTGAGTACACGACGACGATACACTCTTTTCCGACTCGTACGATTATACTTCACAGACACACATCTTGCATCTCGAGTTGCTGTTTTCATACCTGTCGATCTCCTCATACTTCGACGCCACTATACGTTGTACGTTACACTTGTACATCCCTTCTGCGTCTCCTGTCTCTCTGAATGATGCACCTCACCGAGCGAGAATCCTCATGCGTCCCTCCTCGCCATGGCTTAGCATTAGACGACTGCCGCATGTTTTGCTCGGTTACTCTCGATGTCTTGCTCGTGCGATAACTGATACCGTTCGGAGAGCGCCAGCGTTCTCTCGGGCGCGCGGTAGCAAGCCCGTTAATCATATCCTTCGCGTTCTGCGTTCGGCGCGCAGCATGACTCGTAGACGATAAGCGGCGATAACCGCAAACTGCCAGGATCAGCTGATACTAATGATACCTTTTTCTTTCTGTCTCTCCTCCTTTTTTCAGCCTTTCGAGCAGCGCAACGCACGGGCCACGAAACCGTACATGACTCAGTAAGTACCGGATCCAACCGATCCGATTCCCCATAGAGTTTACCTTGCAACGAGCCGAGCTCGTTCCCCGCGACGCCTCTCTCATCTTTTCTCGTTCCAAAGTGCTCTCAAGGAATCAGGCTACGAGAGCGACTCGACACTGGTGTTCCGCCGCAAGGAAGACATCACTCCGCTCAGTCTTCTGCAGCAGAGACTGGCCTACAAGACGGTGCAGAGCGGTGGCGACGTACCCCTCCATGGGCTTCGCAAGCCAGCCCCGGAACGTGCGAAGGGTGAGTCGCCAGTCTGATCTTTTCGCTATGCGTTTTTCGCATTTTTACCCTTTTGATTTCTCTCATTCATTCTTGACGCTATCCTTACGATTTAATCAGCACGCTGATCGACCGATCGACCGTGTGATTGGAGTTTACTTTAGCATGTGGGTGTATGTTTTTTTTACAGTTGATCGTGCTTGCAATGTGTGTGTTTTATTCATTGTTTTACTCTATGTTTTTTACATTGCGCATGTGTGTCTCGAAACTTCGAGTGATGCTATAAATGACGATTTCACGCTGTCAGTTTTGTCATACGAGAATCTCGCTTTTTCCTTGTTCGATTATAGTGGAAGATATCCTCGATGTTTCGCGAGATTAGTTAGAATCGACGAGAATCGAGACGACTTTTCCTCTCGGAGACTTTTCAATTCTCAATTCGGAGCGCTTCGTGTCGACAAAGCGACAAAGCGCGAAGGCATGACGTGTGAGTAGTGCGCTGTTTGACACACACACAGCTTGATGTACGTACAAACTTCCTCCGACGCGTATTCTCCCGTGGGCGATTGCATCGACATTGACCGGTGCTGACTGTAATTAATTAATTAGGCCGAAGCAAAGTGACGATGCGGTCGTAGTGAATGTGTTCAAGTTTTATTCGATAAGTGCTAACTATCGCGATACTTGGCTGACAGAGACCAAAGAGAGAGAGAGAGAGAGAGAGAGAGAGAGAGAGAGAGAGAGAGAGAGAGGGACCAAGGCAACGTGATTCGGGTGATATCGATTCATTAATAAATCAGCAACGTGTTCGCTACGACGCATCGCTCACCTTCGGCTGAAACTTTCCTTTCTCGACTGCGTCACAGTCAAGTCTGAGATCTAGACGGGGACGGGAAATCGATAATCGGAGTCAGTTAACCAAGGGTGTTGGTGCAAGCCGGCCCCGGGCGTGTTCCCACAGTTTAAATATGGCACAGCTCTCCTCGCCGAGTCTATCGATATTGGTGCGCGAGTCGGTACTTCCGAAAGCTCTTCCTGCAATCTTTTAAGTATAAGCACCACAGCCGCGCGCAGTTTTAACATTACTACTACCACCACCGCCATCACCACGACGACAGGAGCCGTGAATCTCTCTTGCGTCGGCACGCAGCCGCCATGTCGCGTGCGGCGCGCTTAGCCACCACCAGCTTGAGCCTTGAACGATGAGACAACCTTAGGTGACTTTTTGGGTGGCAGGGTGCGATGGCTGACAGCTGTACTGCTCTCGACACATGAGCGCGAAACCATCACAATCCCGAAACTCTGTCCACAGACGACACGGAGATCGAGTATTTCCCGATCTCGTCCACTTTGACAAGGATTCGCGTGTACCGGAAGAGCGGTTCGAGGAGCTCGACTGCAACGACGACAGCGACGACGACAACGACGACGACGACGACGACGACGACGCTCGACTCGAGATCGCCGGTCATGAGAGCACCTCGCACGCTCGCCGAGCGATTTCCGTCGTCCGGAAGCGCGTGTCCACTCGGTAGAGTACTTCCGCAAGCTATGTCCGCGTCGAGGCCACCCTCGCCGCCTCGGAGAAAGTCTTCGCGTTACAACAAAACTTTGAAGCTCTACTCGGAGGCGCGACTGATCGATAGCTCGCACTCCACGAAACCCAGGCACGAGCAGTGCTTTACGGCCGAGCATAGCGTGTCGAGCATCAGATCGCTGCGAGAGCGCTTCTGCAGCAATCTCGAGAGGCACCGACGCAGTCGCGAGCACTTCCACAGCGTGATCGCGCAGCGCACTTCCTCCAGCAGTCCGGTCACTGGTAAGGCCGCCAAGACGTCAGGCCTGTTTTCCAGCACCTTCAGCAAAAGAAAGTCGGACCCTTGCTTGTCGCAGAGCCAATTTGAAACGAACACAGGGAAGAGACTGGGTCCGAGTGCGAGAAGTCACGTTTGCTCCTCGGCATCGCCGGCGCCGTCGAGAGGCACTCGGGAGCCGACAACGAGGATCGACGGCAAACGTCCGATCGAAGATAAACTCTCAGTGCTAAGAGTGTCGTCGAGGTATACGTCCGTTAAGGAGGGACTGAGATCGCCGGAAAGGGCCCAAGTCACGACGAGAACGGAATCTCTGCAGAACCCGCGAAAGGAGAAACTTCGCTTGACTAAGAAGGAACAGGAACAGTCGTGCAAGAGACTCAGCAGACCGCCGGCAGAGCTTTCTTCACCGGTAGAGGTGAGGAAGGTTCTGCAGAAGCACAGAGAGAAAGAAGCGAAAGACGTGCAAACCAAGGCGCTCCCCTCGGGGGCGATCGCGAAGAGCTCGACGGCTTCGCATAGTTCACTGGCGAGCAGGCAGAAACGTCCAGCGGACAAGTCCCTCAAAGTTGTCGCGGCGGTCTCGCCGAAGGGACAGGAATTATTGCGAAAAGAGACTGAACAGCCAACGACAACGAAGAACACAAGCTCTCACCCAAAGTCTCCTTCCGCGAAGAGCACGTCTTCGCAGATCGTTCCGAAGAGTTCGACGGAGCTGAAAAAAGCGAAAATCGTCGCAAAGTCACCGGAGAAGCTGATCGTCAGCAAGGAATCCTTGCGTTCGATCTCGTCATCTTGTTCGGAAGTGAGCGGCGAGGCTAACAAGAGGAAGCGACCGCGTGAGAAGCCGCAGATTATTGTGAAGACTCCGATGAAGAAGCCGGAGACGATACGCGTTACTGTGAACGGCAACAGGAAGAAAATAGAGGCGAAGAAGAAGACGCGCAAGGAGGCGAAAGGACGCGAAAACGGCGGTGACGGCGCGAGCAGGTCCCCGGACGGCTGGAAAGAAATAGCCGAGAAGGAGGACATCAAGCTGCTGAGGAGGATAGAGAAGACAGTGCCAAGTGCTGCACAAGAGCCTCCCAAGGGTCAAACCGCCCCTCTGACCGTGGAGGAAATCAAGAGGCATCAGGAGGCGACACGCACGGACACCTTCTTCCAGAATCTCTTTCTGCGGAACTCCCCGTCGCCCATACCGCACTTACATGCGACCATGAGAAGATCCCTCGTCGGTGAACGTACGAAGATGTTGCAAGACATCGCGAAAGAGAGCTACAGGTCGGAACCGTCCTTGAAGTCCCTCAGCGTGTATCTCGCGCACAAGCGACCGGTCTCGAACTCGAAGTTCAAGAACTGGGAGCGTGAGAGCGTTTCATCCAGAAGTTCCAGCCCGTATGGGGTCTGCTGCTGGCCTGGTCGATCGGTTCTCCAAAAAGTGAGCAAGTTCGACAGCTTGCTGGGCATCGACGAGTTCGGGTCATCCACCACGCTGCGTAATCGCAGTCCAGAGTTGTCGCGAGAGCACGTGAAGGAGCGAAGTTTGAGTGAACCACCCTTGAAGACCTTGCCAGAGTCGAAGGAGTCCACCCCACGAACCTCCTCGCCGTCTCCAACGAGACCTCAGACGCCTCGACAAATTCGCCCTCCCAAGCAGGACGATCCAGAAACTCCGCTGACGATTACCTCGAAGAAGATCAGAGCCAGGAGTGCCGGCGAAGCAGAGGAGACGAAAAGATTCGGCTCGACTTTGTCGTTGACGAAAAGCACCGGCTCCTTGTCGTCGATCGACCGCGAGGACTATCAGCAATACATACTCGAATTGCTACACCACAGACGTAAGTCGAAGCGATATAAAGATCTGCGCGACTTCTACGCGAATCTGAGTAGGATGGGTCAATTGGAGCGCACGTTCTCCTCCGGAGATCTACGACCGAGGATGAAGAACGAGGAGATCATCGATTACGATCTTTGGCAACAAGTCAGATCGAAGGAGAAGGCGGAGCAGGAGCTGAAGACGCTCTACGGGAAGCTGAGGAACGTACAACGCGACAAGGATTTTCTCTTCACCGTGAAGGACGTGAATAAATTTAGGTGGCACGGCGATTGTGGACTACGTTGCAAGGAACGCTCTGTGGAAGACATTTTGCAGTACTTTAAGAAACTTCAGAGCAAGGAGAGCGAGCTGGAGTCCTCCAAGAGAAGAACCATCTCGTCGCTGAAGGACACCTATAAGCCTCTCTGGCGAGGCAGTTCGGTAGTGAACGTGGCGACTACGATGCAGAAGAAGGCCAACGCCAATCAGGACGTCGACAGGTTGACGGAGCATCCGTCCTTGCAGAGAAGCCTGGGCGGCAGCAAGAAGTTCTGGAGCAGTTTGTCCATCGAGCAGGTGGCCACTTTGAAGAAGCAACTCAACGAGATCTACGGCAGTGACGGTCCTCAGAGATCGACGCGATCGGATGGCGAAGTCGTCGAGGCGCCTCGCGAAATTAGCGAGGATCAGCGATTCGTGAAGGAACGTCAGGAGGAGGATAAGCTCGATACTTTGTCGAACTACGAGATCATCGTGCCGCCCGAGAGCAGCGGTCCCAGCGGACGTCCTCAGAGGGTCGACTCGAAGGGTCTCCATGTGCGGTGCCACTCGATGATCACGAGCAGCGAATCGGCGATGTTGCTGAAGGAACAGAGCTCTGACACGATTCGGGTCGAAAGTTCGACTCTGAAGAAGAGCGACTCCATCGGTCGCTTGAAAGGCTTAGAGAGATCCGAGTCGGATAAATCGGTGTCGTCGACGATGTCCGAGCTAGAGAAGAAGCGGCTATCGTTGACCATCGGCAAGGAGGTTCTGGACAAAATGACGCGACGCTGTCGATTGTCCGCGCCATTAGCGCCTCGAGAAACGCGCGGCAGCATCGCCGTCGCTCTGGCGGCCACGAAGATGCCCAAAACACCCACGAAGAATGTCGCGAGGCCTGTTTGTCCGCCCGCCACACCCAGCTTGGCCAGTACTTCCCCGCGAACCTGCTACTCTCTCGAAGCTCCGTACGCCGATGACTCGACGAGACTCAAGGACAAGAGCGATTTCCTGCTCGTGTTGACGCCCAACAACGAGAGCGCTACCGACAAGCAGCGCGTGGAGACTGTACTCGAGGAATGGTCGAAGAAGCCGCCGTTATTGGCTATGGCGGTGCCCAAGGAAGCTTCCACGACGAAGACAGGTAGATTCGTCTCGAGTAGCGACGCAGACAGCATGACGGAGAGCTCCGAGACCTCGGTGCGAACGGTGATTCAACGGAACGTCGAGGCGGAGGACGTGTCGCGGAAGATCGAGTTCTTCGAGAACGTGGAGAGGAAAGGAGAAGCGCGGCAGCGCGAGGCTGCGCTAGCTCCTACGACAACGGCGACGACGTCGTCGTATCGCAGATGGAAGAAACTGTCGTCGTCGCAGAGCTTCGCTGATCTGAAGGAGCTCTTTGGGGAAACCGAGTCGGCCAAGTACAGTGGACCCAGCGCTGCGTCCAGTATCGTCGATCGCTCGCGATCGACGTCGCCGAGAGAAAGGGCAGGCGACATACGGAGAGACGCTCGCAGTCCGACGCTATTGGATACCAGCAGCGGCGACGGTAGCGGCGGCACGCGACGACAATCGTTGCGCGCCTGTTCACGGGAGCGTGAACATGACAGACCGCACAGCGTCAGTCCGTGTCGTGCGACCACGCGATCGAACTCGTCCTGCAGTCTGGACAGCGGTTGGCTACGCAGTTCCTCGCCGGATCCCGAGAGGTATTGGCGCGCTTACTTGAAACTCGTGCGAAACGGCACTGTGCGCCGGCTGCGGGCGAGATTCGAGAGCGCGGAGGACCTGCCACGGCGCGTCAAGATCGCACCGAGCCCCAAGCGCTTCCGCAGCGACCCGGAGTTAGCGAGGAGCTTGCTGAAGAGAGCGAGCGAGGAGGGCCGTGCGGTCCCGAAGCCGCACGAGCATGCCGACGTAGCGTGGCTGCGCAGGAGGTTCGAGGCGAGGAGAGGACGGCCACGGCGAAGAGGTGAGTCGCCGCCGATTCCGCGGGTGCCGTTGCGCCGGGAGAACCTCTCCATGCCGCACATTGATGTCATCAGCAAGACAGCCGAGCTGAAGGAGCCCACCGTCACCAGTACCGTCACCAACCACGTGGCCAGGCAAGCGGAAACCAAGGAACTCGAGGCGAGAAGACCGGTCTGCAGGATGCGGAAGAGATTCGAGTCGCCGGACGCCGGACGATGTACTTCCATCTTAGGCGAGATGTTTACGTCGGCGCCGGATGTACGCGAACTCCGCGACATCGCGCCCTACTTGGCTGGACGGTGGGTGGCTCACCGGTTCCCGAATCGCCGTGACAACATGCGCTCCTTGTCGTCGCCGGCCGATCTTGAGCTCCACCGAGGCTCTTCGAGAACCGATCCCTCTCCAGAGAGCAAGAGAAAAACGGAACGACCGCGCGCCACCTCTTCGTCGCCGACGCGTCCGCGAACCCCTGCGTCGATCCTCAAGTCGCCGCAGACGATTTTCGCCGGGCAACACTTTGACCCTGACAAGCACAGACCAAGGTTCAGGTATCAACCACCGCCACCGCGGCCTTCGCCCACCGCCGCACGAAAGCAGAGAACTCTGTGGCCGAGAACCTTGCCCGTCTACACGGCACGACCGACCGTCACCTTCGAAGGTCTGAATCTCGTCGACTGTTAGAACCTCCGGGCTGACCCAATCGCGAAGCCGGAGGGAATCTAGAAGATCTCGCACTTCCTCCTCTTTCTATCCTTAACAACGAATTTTCACGGAAAAAAATATTTAATTGGATTAACCGAACGTTTGGTGAAACATGAACAAACCGGAAAATTTTGATTGATATCAAAATTCTGGTAACTTCAAACGAAATTTTGTAGGTTTGTTCATATTTTGGTCAAAAGTTTGGTTAATCCCACCAAACTTTCTTTTTCCATGTTTCTGTTTGTGCGAGAAAACGTGGAGCTTAAATTCGATTAATTCTCGAATTAAACTGCGACGTTATCACGACGTCGTGACACCAATATCTTTAGATATCGAAGAGGGAGGCGCGTGCAGTTTCACACGCACTCCTCAAGTGTGTATGTGCAACCCTCTGTCTAATCACCCGAGTGTCTTTATTCTCGTAGCTATAGAACGGCTAATTATTATTTTGATTTTTTTCCGCTCCATCTATAGAATACTCGAATGCACCTCCGCCGCCGCCAAAATCCCAGCACTGCAGGGACGATCGCCAAGGTAATGCCGATTACAAGCTCATCATTATCACGCCTACATTTTCTCTCGCGCGTCCTCACGTGCGCGTGCGCGAGCGCGCGCGTCCTCTGTGTGCGCTCATTCGCGTGTCGCAGTCTGTTTGCTACCGGGTGTTTCGTAACATCTGGCGTCGGCCTCTTTGTGGCTCGCTAAGCATTGTTAACCTGCGAATGATCTTGTCCAGAGTGTCGTCATCGAGAAGTTTTGTCTCGATGAAAATTCATGTCGCTAATAATCGCTTCTCTATTAATCGGCCAATATTTTAATTGACTGAAACAATCGGCAAATCAATAATCAAAGTTAATCACTCGTTATGTATGTAATCACAAACAATTGATTGAGGAAATTAATTATTAATCAATGTATAATCAATCGCTTAATTAACAATTAATTAACAATTAATTTCGTCAAACAATTAAATTATTTGTAATTACATACATAATAATTAACCCTTTAAGGACTGTCCGGAAATGTTTTGTGGTAAAACATTGGAATTTCTTTTGATTTACTTAAATTACTATATATTTTTTAACTCATAGTAAATATAAATTAAATATAGATTACGTTCTATCAATTAAATATAGATTACTTTTTCAAAATTCTCCTATGAAAATAGCAATAAAGAAGAAACAGATCTTAAAAAGAAAAAAAATGGCAGAAATTGCGTAGTCGTTTCAAATTACTACCGAAGAGGCTAATTAATTTCGACAATTGTTTTGCCAATTACCTTGTTCATTTGCAATCGTAATCGATTAATGCTCGACACTGTTTGCAACAAGGTGTCTCTGTTCCGCTTTCTTCTTACTCTGAAGCGGGCGAAGCGAGCGTGGCGTGCGCGAAATTGCGTAACAACGAACAGTACGGCAACTCTGGACTTTCCATTGGACTTTTTGCTTCTTATCTTCTATTTTTACTTGCCTGCCGCGGGTTCGAGCGCTATGCCAATCGCAAAGTCGCGATCAGCAACGCGACTGATGCGAACGTCCGTCAGATGCGCGTCGCGGCGACGCACAGCAGCGGAGTATGCGTCCGGGGGATGCATGAGCGAGCATCAACGCTCGCGTGCGTTGGGTAGAAAGATCGTGCAACCGTTTTACGAGCGATCGAGCATGAGCGCAATGATCACGCGGTCGGGAAGCATGATGCGACGTTCGTACTTGCACGCGCGCGATCATATTATTCCTCGGCCTCGAAGTCGCACTAAGTCGCTCGTTGCGCGATAGAGAGCGATCGACGCCGAAAATGACTTTCGCGCGATGAGGAAATCAACACGCGATTCACTTGCCGTGTAGTCCCGATTAGAAGTTTCATATTAATTGCATTGTGCTCGCTTGCTTTCTTGTGGCTGCGCTAGACCGTGGATAGCACGTGGGGAAACGTCAGTGTCGAATCAGTATCAATGCACGACGATGGAACGCTCTATTGTTGTCCTGCTAGACAATTGTACGGGGTATCCGACAACTTGTTATGCTGCCGCGATGTCTTCATCTAGAACTCATCAAGCTGAACATTAAATGGTTGTAGCATTTCCCGTAAACAGCCACGTAAGATTTTGACTAACTAAAAGACGATTGATGAACGATCAACGCGCGATACGGTAGATGAGTCGTGATGAGTCAAACTGAGGAAAATGATCCTCTATTATTTTGCAAATGACCGCATAGATGCTTAGTTATCAATTAAAGAAGATTGTCGCGGACAACCGACCTTCCTTAATTAGTAACTAAAAATCTACGAATTGATTATGTTCGAATTAGGAAAGTACAATTCGACAGCTCTGTTTCTGAAGTACATCACGTCGTACATGAGAGGAAACGATTGAGCAGGATGCGATAAAAATGATGGCAACATTGGGTATCGTCAAAGAGAGAATCGTGCGATGCAATCGAAGTCGACAGGTGAAATTGGAAACCCGCGAATGAACTCGACACGTTGGCACGCGAATTTTACCGACTGGAAGTTAATTTCGTCGAAACAATCGCGCGCGAAGGGTAACCAGATGCCGATGACCCGAGAGCTATTCATTGGTTCACGATGTCAAGGGCACAAGCGTCGTCGACTCCGTCAAAACGATGCTCACGCATGCTAATTGTCTAACGGAAAGGTAACAGTGAACTGGCTGACGTTCAATTTGCACGCGAGTGCAACTTTCGAGCGCGGCTTGTAACGATGGCAAATGCGAAGAATACACGCAACACTTAAACGCACTATATTGACGAATGCAATGACTTTTCCCTTTCCTTCTTTTTTATTTATTTTTTTTTATCAAGCGACTTTAGAGAGGTTCTGGTTTAGGTAGCCAGAAAATAAGAGATTCCTACGAATATTTTTATTTTCCTTGCAGAAATGAATAAATCTATCAGTACAGGGTTTCGATCATACTACCTATTATTATTACAAATTAAAAGAAATTATTTTAAAGAGGATTGAAATTCTCTGCCCAGACATTTTTATGCTGAACGCGGCGTCGCCGAATGCTTCTAACTGACGAACGATATCACAGCTCGTACAATAATCTGCAACAAATGGAACTGGAAAATTTTAAAACTGTATTAAATTTTCAGTATAAACCTGTGTTACACGCCAAAAAGTTGAAATTTAATAAACTGACAGAACTTCAGAATTACAAGCTATTTTTCCTCTGTTTATATATATATATATATATATATATATATATATATATATATATATATATATTTGATGTTCCAGAAAAAATAATAATTTTGAAAATTTTCTAAAAGATTTAAATTCATCCCCTGCAAATTTAATACTATTTTTAAATGTTCACGTTCCATTTGTTTCAGCTTATTACATGCTGTAATATTGTTTACTAGTTATAAGAGTCCGGCGCTCAACACAAAAAATTTAAATATTTTATATTAATTTTTAAATATTCTTTTTATGATTTTCTCATCATTTTGTTTTTATCAAAGCTTGCTCTTAATTTCTTATTCAATATTTCACAGGCTCGACTTTCACTTGAGAGCTTTTGCCGAGCATTGAATTTACTCAGAGGTCGTGAACTTGATTATTGCCTATTAGGAGATAAATATCATTCACCGAGGAGCCGGGTCCTTTATTCGATGCTGTCTTGATCATATTTAACATCAGAGCCGTACACATTTGCACGCTATTACGCGTCGCTAAAATCGGCTAAGTGGCGGTCACGATTATTTTCGACGATGACTACAGTAACGCAATTCTAAGCAGCCACGGTGTGTGCGAACTTCTGCTGATACAGCGCAGTAAATTTGACCGACGTGTGTGTGTGATAGTCGTTGCCGTTGCATAATTGCAATTAGCATAGCTATTTATCAGTTCATCTATCGGGCTCGGCTGACTCGTCCGCTCCTCAACGCAGGGTCATCCTTGGCATTATTGCAATACGAGCATACGTGCGTAATCGCGCAGCTCCCGACGATCCGGTGCGTCGCTAGATAAGTGCGTCAAGTGCCTCTCAGCTTTCTTCCCCGAGCCAAAGTACATTACACTCGTCTGTTGATCGTCTCTTATCTAATCTCCTAGTGATTGATGAGTACATGTCTCTCCGCTCTTTGACAGTTCCGCCGTCGGCGTAGTCGACGATGCACGATGAAACCTGTAGTCTCTCTGTGACGTTTCCTCGAATCGCCGAGACGCGCGAGCGCGGTGAAACGAGTGCAAAAATAAGGCCCCTAATGTCGTGAATAATTAGTGCGTTGCGGGAGGTGATTAGCGCGTAGAGCAGGAACATAATGGAGCCAGTGAAACGTGCGAGTATCTCTCGTGCGCCGTGAGTCGCGGCGTGGAACAACACGACTCTTGTGCGCGCTTTTAAGCGCTTTTGCAGCACCGCGATTGTACTTTTATTATCGCGAACAACGACTGGAAGAAGCGACGCTTATCAGCGACGAGTAGCACGAGTCGAGGTGCTGATAGAAGCTAAACGCGCCTTTGTGGACGAGCTTCTACGTGGCCACGCGAGGTTTCACGCAGGAGTTCGCACGTCCTCCGCGTCTCACTAAATTCGTGCTTTACTTTCGCCGTTACACAAAGTCCGAGTAATAAAACCGTCTGGTAACATCGCGACGTCCTTGATTCGGATATTTCAAGCGTCTCTCATTTCGAGTCGAGCAGCTCGCCAATTCGCGGACGGCGCGCTCCTCCGCGAAAACGCTCCTCGAACTGCGTGCTTGGTGAACCGTTCTCCAAGGAGTAGGGAGCGCGATCGCCGGTGCCAACGTCGCGGCGCCTTCAGACGCGTTTTACGTGCGTCGTGCGACGCAGCTTTCGCGACGGGCGCGAATCCCACGACAGGTGTCGAATAGCTGCGCGCTGTTACGTCGCGACCAGTGCGACCGATTCGACCACTCGGCAAGGTAAAAGTCACCGATTCCCGTAGCTAATCCTGGACATACGTGTTGTGTCAGTCTTTAAATATGAACATTGCAGTTTTCAACATAAAATGTATGCGTCTGATATATGTATATACATTTTACGTTGAAAGTTTAAGTATTCGTGCTTAATAACCAAACACAACGAGAATGTGCAGGGTTAGGTAGGTGACCAGGCATCGATACTCTTACCTTGCCCACCGACGTGGAGACAACGATGCTTCGCAAAAAAGACGATGACGACGCGCAAATCGGTGATGCCGTGATGATCCCGCGGAGTGTTATCAGTGCGCACGCTCGACAATCGCGATAATCGCGTCCATCTAATCGGAAGTTCGCGCGCGAGGCTGTTGCGAGCCAGTTTGTCGTCGTCCTTGTCGTTGACTCACGCGGTGATCACGTCGATTCCGCACAAACAGCCGATCATATGTGACGCACGCGAGATTATCATCGCGCGCGATATCGCCGGGCTTTGCGAGCTTATCGCGCGATTTTTACCCAAGCATTCGCTCGAGCTCTTCGAACGACACGTTTACAGGCCGGCTATTTCGTCTGTTTAAATTAAGAGTGGATTGAACTACCTGAGGCCTCCTCGGCCCAGGTGATGAC